CGTAGAATAATTTAACAATTTTAATGCGTTGAGCGGTGGGTTAAACGATCCATTTCGTAAATGTGTTGTTTCAAACTAAAATTAGATATTTAAAACACGCATCTATATTGACAGCTATCAAATTTACGGTGTTCCCAATATAGGAAATTCGAATTGGATCACCCTTTACATAAAAAACTAGTAGTGTATAATTTTTTGTTGACCATTTTAATAAAATACCATCAGAGTCAGTATAAGAATGCACAATATTATCGCAGTTTTATTTCAAATAGATACAGTTTCTATCCTACGCGATATTTGCTGTAACGATATTTTTTATTTTTTGCTAGTGCATAAAATGACCAAAACCCCAGAATCTCCTGGGAATATTTATCTCATACTACTTTTGACATCAATTGTCTAGTTGTAACGATGACACAAAAAGTTCTGCAAAACATATTTACCCGTAAAAACTACAAGGAAAATAAATAAACTACGCATTTTCCCGGCGCATTCGTCACTTTTTAGAATCAAGTTGAAAGCGGCGAGTTTTTGGAATGTTTTATTTATCAACATGGTACAGCCACATTAGAATTTTAAATGAAATTGTTCATTTGTCTGATTTCTGTTAAAAACGGAAATCAAGTCATCGTTATGAGCATACTAAGTAACAAAATTTGTAAAACATCCGCTTCAGCTTGAAATAATGGGAAATAATGAGAAATTTTAAGAAAAGTTTAGTCATTAATAATAATGACTTATTATATAATCATAGTAATGACTTAATTTCTATTTTATTATGTCTAGTATGAAGAAATACTTGCAATTTATTTAACGTATAATATTTTAAATTATATGCACTGGAGATTAAAATTTTTAAATACTGATAAAAGTGTCAAAATGGGAGGTATCTCATTAATAGGCATTTCAGTAATAAGGCCGTAAAGTGATTCTTTACTGAGCGAGTTGGTAGATGAAGAAGTAGAAGCTGGCGAGCCCAGTAAAGATACTATTCGGATGTGTTGCCTACAATACTTTTTCTGCAACCGTTCTCACTAGTTTTAAAAACTTTTTAAATTGAAATCTTTTACAAATAATATTCATAAAATTCAACTGACAGAAGTCAGTCGCTTACTTTCAACTTAGACCAGATTAATTATTTTTAATTGTTATCACATAGTTTTGTCAATCAAAACTGACAGAGGCCCGGTATTTCAGTCGTGGGTTAAACCATTTGCACAAATACGAGGAGCAGCAAGGACAAGCAGACTGGTCTGATTACAGTCCAGCGCTTTTGAAAACCCCTACATCTAAGTTGTTATCAACTACAAAAGCTGGTACGTATGTGTTTATACAATAAATATAATAAATGTAACTATTATAATGATTACAGGCACAACAAAAGCAACAACTTGCCGAACCAACGAAAAGTGCTGCAATCTTGCTGACAAAAAAAGCGAATTTTTGGATATTCTCCAAAAACTACGAGAAAAAGAATTGGAGGAGGCAGTAAAAAAACATCAGGAGGAAAGGGAGTTGGTTCAGTTGAAAAAGAAAATACTTTTGGAGGAACATCAACTAAAAATGGAACAAATGAGGGAGGAACATGCATTAAAATTAAAATTAATGTCGGAGAGAAAACCATTTATGTAATTAATATTACAAATTATTAAAATACATTATTAAATTTGTTCTTGTCCAGTTATTATTTGCATTTATGCGAAATGGCTCAACAGGAACATCGTTGACATAATTAAAAGCCCTTTCTTCTTCTTCATTAAGTACTGGTGAATCTCGTTCCTTAAACTCACAAGCCATATTATGTAGCACAGCTGTGGCTACAATTATCCACTGTACTTTGTCAATTTGTAATGAAATTCCTTTGGAAAGTATAGGAAACCTCCTCTTCCAAACCCCATATGACCGCTCAACCGAGTTTCTAGTTCTGATCTGTGCCTCGCTGAACAGATTCTCAGCTCGAGTATTGGTGCGGGCCAAGGGGGTAATTAAATAATTGTTTAAAGGGTATCCACCGTCGCCTAAGAGCAAGCCATTTTCCATTTCATTATTTTCAAATCTGGCACATAATCGTGATTGATTAAAAATTGTTGCATCGTGACAAGATCCTGGCCATCGAGCCACAATATCTAATATTTCAAGATTTGCACCCGACACGGTCTGTACATTAAAGGAAAAGAATCCTTTCCGGTTTCTAAATGTTTCACCATTTTCTCCACCTTAAATTATAAAAATTTAATAATTTTCATTTACAATCTTTTAAAATTTACCAGGTCCTTGAATTCGTACATGTGTACAGTCCAACGCTCCCAAAACTCTTGGAAATCGAGCAATCTTATAAAACTCTTGTTGCGTTTTATATTTCTCTTCTCGGGTTTCAGGAAATTTGATATATTCTGGCCGCAGTCTAGCTATGGCCTGGGTAACCTACGATACATTTTCTGTTAAATATTTCCTACTTATTTTTTTAAAATACATACCTTTAATATTACTTTGCTCGCTGTACTCTTATGTACACCTGCAAAATCTCCAACCACAATCAACATACTGCCACATGCAAAGAATCGCAAAGTTAACAGTAACATCTCCATTGGTAATAGTGCATGATTCCTATTAAATTTACATAAAAGTTAAGCAATAATATTTTAATGTTGAATAAGTATTACCAGTTTGTAGTAGACTTTATACCATCTTCAATTTTCTCCAAGCTAAGATGAACAGATGGTTTTGTAAATCGAAATCTATTGTAAAATTCTTCATCATCCCAATAGTTGATATGATTTTTTTTCTTGGTAACGTCGAGCTTTTCTTGGTCTTTCTATATGCTCCACATAATCGATAATATCTTCATCATCAGATGACACATCAAACAATTGATCCATTTTAATAATTAACACAAAATATTTGGACTTTATTACTTTGTTTTTTCACAATCAAACAATTCTAACCACACAAACGCTTCCCGCCACGTCATATTTGACACTATTCCGATACCAACCTAACAAATATTTTGGTTAGCTAACTTAAATATTAGGAGGCGGAGTCTAATCACTGAAAAACAGATACTCTGCTAAACTAGTTTAAGATTTTGGTTATCTCTTAAACCAAGTTAGTTGAACCAAAAGTTAACCCACGACTGAAATACCAGGCCATAAAGGGTCAGCAATGACTTTACCGATCCTTTATTTGACTTTATAGAGCTAAGCTAATATTTATTCTCCACTCAAAAAAATTTACCAAAACACTTTACTCTTTAGATGGTTGCGGGAAAAAGAATTTTTTTGACACCTGCTTCCGAAAGTGACATTTTCTGTTGTTTGTCAGTGTATTTTCTACTAGCGAAAATAGACGTTTGTCTCCTTTCAGTGGGTTTCCAATAACAAAGTGAGACAATATACATTTTCTCCCGTTGCTATTAGAGACGGGAGTCAATATTAATATGAAACCAAATAAAATATTATAATCAATTTTTTATTTATCATTATGAATATTAATGGTACAATTTGTTAGATTATTAAAACTAATGGCAATAGAAGATTTTGATGAACAGCTTAATGTTGTATTAATATCAATATCCTGATTTTCGCTCGTTATTGTTGATAGTGATTCACAACCCTCAATAATAATTTGCTTGTCTTTATTTATATTTTTGATACTGACTGTGATTTTTACCTCCAGTAATGATTTGTTGAGACACATTACACTTTCTTGAGATAGAATCTTCTAAATATCCTTCAGCAACTGCTGAGGACCTCCATCCCTCATGCCTCTTCAAACTTATAATATCCCCTCCAGCTTCTACCAGAAGCGATACGGATCTTCTTCTGAGATTGTGTCAAATATAACTAGAAGGTTCCGGCAATTTAAGATACTCGGCAACTTTACTGGGTATTTGGGAAAACGTATTTTTTCCAATTTACGAAAAATCTGGAATGTGTTCTTTTTTGCAGATCTTAATGCAAAATACTTCCTATATATGTCAATAACGTTATTTCCATTAATCTTATCATTAGTTACAATAAAAGTACGTGCAATGTGCGTTTTTGTATATGAAATCGTAATAACTAAAATGTTGTTTTTATCTTGAATATTTTCGAGACATAAATAGGTTAATTCGTCACACCAACAAGCCCCACAAATTGCCATAACTACAGCAACCTTAAATAAAACAAGATGTGTGAGAAAAACTACTAATAAGTTAAAGAACAATTAAGTTTACCTTCATGAACAAATATATTTCGGCAGGGGCTTCTGAAATAAAATTATTTATATCTTACCTACTGAAAGTTTTTGCTTTTTTTTGGTTTATATCCAACAGCTTGCCTTTTTAAAAAAATTATCAGTTTATGTTTCTTTATCTCGATATCTTCTCTTAAGAGAAGCGTAGTTCTTAACATCGAATACTTTGCCCAAAGGGTCCCCGATTTGTATTTTTTACTGACAAATGAAATATAAGCCAAAATGACATCATCATTTATTTCTTTGACGTTGCTGGTGATCATCCATTTTTTGAACATATTTTATTCGTTTTCATATTTTAATCTCGATTTTGCTGGAAGAAGATTTAGTGTGGCAATTCTTGCTTCTTCTACAATAGCTTCAGGAATTTCACAGTCACTATCCGAACTCATTTTCTTTTTTCGTAATGCACTAACTCGCGTTGCAATAATAATTATTGTGCAGTAAACAATTTTGTTTGACTATTACTTGCTACCATAGAAACTGGAAACATTAACTAGCCTGCTCATGGTTTTTATATTTAAATATTTTTGATTTCAGCAAAATATAAGAAATAAAGCTTTATTATAAATAATATATGTGAAAGAGTATGTGAAGGTGTCAAAAAAATCATATGTTCAACTCTGGAGTAAAGTATCATTTCCTCCCTAGGATTTATGCGTCTTTCATCCACGGGAAGAAATGATACACTTTCCTTCCTAGGTAAACAAATAGCTATTTTGTATTAATTCAAATATTTCAAAAATAATCATTATTTATTTTATGGCTTTGTAGTCGCGTGGTAAGGATACTTGTCTCACACCCTGGTGTCCCGGGTTCAATCCCCGGTCGAGGAGCTAGAAATTTTTCTGAACCAGAAATTAATCCTAGCATACTCGTATATAGGGTGTGTGTACTTGAGTACCTTCAGGGATACAGAGGTTGTATTCCTGTTGTGTGTTTAATTAAAAATTAAAATTGGAAGAAAAATAAAATTTTAGCAGTTGCTTAAAAGTAATATAATTTTTCCAATAGATTCGATTAGTGTAACGTGACTATATAGACAACAGGTGTATTGAACTAATCTGAATATTACATATACCCCCGTACATATACGTGCGAACATTTCACAAGTGCGCCAGAATTCTTGGCCTGAGGATGACAAGGGCCTAATAGGACTTGTTCTTTACCCCTGATGTATCTCTGTAGAACCGGATCAAACTTCGATGGGTCTGTTTTTCTCGTCTACCACCACCGCTCCTGTAGATGCAGACGCTGTAGGCGATTTCATCAGACCTCCTATGATCTAGGCTTGATGGATCCTGCCGGTTGGGTCGCCTCTTCTAGCGCTTTTCGCCTTTGTGTTCATTCTTCGCCAATATGTTTATATACTGGAGCGTGTTATCTGTCGCGGGTGCAAAGAGAGAAATGCTGCACTCCGTCCTGGTGGTTTAGAGTATTTGGGATCTTTTAGCTATACTCACTTGTTGGTCAGATTCTGCAACTTTGGTCACTTATGCCTTGGAACGTCTGGATCATCTTCATGACCGACGTGTAGTTCAGGTACCTAAACATGTCGACAATTTGGGCAAACCATGGTGCATCCACAACACTCCTGAGCACAACGTTTTCCACAGTTTAAATCCTCTTAAGATGCATTTTGGTAGTGTGTCTGCGGGGACGTCCCATGAGTTCTAATTCCCACGAGATCTAATTCCCATGACATATAATTCCCCTGAGATCTAATTCTAATAGTCGCTCTGTATATATGTTCGGGTTTCCGAATGAGTTTTATATAAACCGATACAAAAAAGTCCGATGAGATCTAATTCCCACGATATCTAACTTCGACGAAATCTAATTCCCACGAGATCTAAAACTCCGATGCCATTTTCCCATAAGATCTAATGCATCACCCTGTATATACGTTCAGCTTTCCAAAGGCGTTTTACCTTGTAACCTATCTAAAAACAGGTTTAAAATTACCACGAGATCTAATTCCCACGAGATCTAAAAATGTGATGCCTTAGATACGGAAGTAAAGCATTACATGAGCAGTATTCAAAGGCGTAGGGACAAGTAAGGCAGCAGACTTACGACGCCAGTTTTAAAAATAATGCATTATCAAATAGCCGGTAAAATAATTGTTTCAAAAGATATATGTTGTACTTATCTATGATAAGGCGGATGAGGTATGGACATCCGTTTAATATCCGATATTCGATCAGTGAAGTTAAACAGCACTGATCGAGTCCGGCAATTGGATGAATGAACGATAGCTCATCTAACAGTCGGTAGGCTGTCAACAGACAATCCCGGGAAGGCCGCTAGCCTGATGCAGGCGGAGAGGCGAGCCCAGGTGGAGGGTCGAAGAGACCTACCCAGGAGGTGTGCCACTCTGCTAGCGGTGCAGGCGGGCAGGCCCAGGCGGTGGATTAGTTGACAGTCGAGGACCGTGGTTCGGAGTCCACGATAAACTGTAGGTCCCTAGGTAAAAAGGATCCATTGTGGCCTGCTTGCCTAGTAAAATAAGTAGCTATTACTACTATCTATGATAAGTTTTGTAAAAGTAGTAAATAATAATTAGCAAAAAAAATTTTTTTCAGCGTTATTATTTTTTTCATTCCACTCTATATTTTAAACTTTTACCAAGAAGAGGAAACCTAATTTATTTTTATTTTTAAAAAATATGTGTAGTTTCTTATATTTTGCACTCTAATTCTTATCTGAATGCGCTAGTATAAAAGATTTAGGTAGATAATAAATTAAACAGGACACTCCAAATACAGTTTATTGCAGAAACTATTAAAACAACTACATCAAGTGGATGTAAGATGACATTGGTTTAAATAATATTATTTATACTAATAATATTAGAAGCAAAAAGATATTGAGATTAAAAGAAATTTTACATAAAAGAACATGCATTTAAGAAATGATTCTCTCCAGTTACAATACAAAAACGAAAAACTCTAGACCACTGCACATCGTCTTTCATTCTTTCGGGGTTGGAAAACGAACTATTTAAAAAATGTTTTAATTACATACATATCTCAAAATAAGAACATTTGCCATTATTTATTTTGACATTTTGTATTAATAGTTTGATTGCAATTCTTTTTGCATGGTCTAGGGTGTTTGTTTTTGTATTGTACGGAGAGAGTCACTTCTTTAATGTGTTTTCTTTTTGGTGACTCAACATTTTTTAATTTTAATATTTTTTTGCTTCTAATACTAGTAGTATGAATACTATTTTTTAATTCAATGTCATCTCACATCTGGTTGAAGTAGTAGTTTTACTAGTTTCTGATATAAAAGGTATTTGAAGTATCGTGTTTAATTTATTATCTACCTAAAACTTTTACATAGCGCATTCAGATAAGAATGACAGTGAAAAATATAAGAAACTATAGGTAGTTTGCTGTTTTCAAAATCATATTAGGTTTGAAAGGATGATTATGTAAATATACCCAAAAAAATTAATTTACTATTTTTCCTAGAAATGCATATAATACGAAGCAAATAACATTTATAATCATTGCAATGTTTAAACATTTGGTTTTCTATTGTTTCATTAATCTTTTCTATAATAAAATTTAATATGGTCATATAATGGTCAAAAATGTCTATATCAGTTATTTTTATTAACAGATCTACTCAGAATGATTATTCGAGTTAATCTTACTTGGAACAAACATTTTAGTAATATAGCACAGTCTGCTACAAAGAAGTTTATCTTTGTGTACAGTCAAATACTATACCCTACTGCACTTACCATTGTAATATAACACCCAAAGCAAATAGGTTCTGATTTTGTGGACTATTCCCATATATGCCATAATACTATAGTGACTAATTTATTCAAATAATTTTAATCTGATCAAAATGCACCAAATTGTATAACTACATGGTGTAATACAGATTATTATTTTCATAAGTATATTAACCAATTAAAACGTTACATTTGGCTAACTTACTCATAATTATTCTGGTAAGGTACACAAATCAATTATACCCTGGGTTACTTTTCACGGCAACAATAAACAAAGTTGCCTCAGCTCTCTGGTAACGCATTTTAAATCAATACAAACAATTTTTTTTAATTCATTAATATATGCATTTTATTAATCTGATCGAATACTACTGGAAATCCGGAATTTTTTTTATTGTATTCCTCAAACTTCCTGCACAGTAACTAATCGTGTCAATTTAACAGAAAAATTGTCGCATTTCGCTACCGGATTTTTACGCTGTCAACTAGCACACTTTATTACTATGCAATTGAGAATTAAAATCACCACGCTCGGTGCATATGGCGCTGCCATCAGACGAGTAGCTATCAGCCGATTCTTGATTTGTTTACATTCGTTTTATTTGCTTTTGTGGATCCTTTCTTAGATAGAAAAATATACAGAGTGTCTCACCAGGAACTGCATCGATCAATATAGGGAAAAATACGCACCAGAAAATTGGCCACACTAATAACGGTAGTGTGGCCAATCCAACTAAAATAATTATAAGCATCCGGTTATACCGGAAGTCGATACCAACTTGCTTATTATAATTGGAACAGCCCAGCAGTTTCGGAGATATTTAACATTTAAAAAAATTTTTGACAGGTATAATGGTTTATTATAACCTTTATAACTTTCTTCGTGTAAAAGATACTCATTTGCTTTTTGGCAAGAAGAAAGACCATAAGGTGAGCCATGCTCTACAGTTTAAAGAAATTTAATAACAGTATACCAAGTGTTCCATTTTTGACGTTACATTTTGTAAACTTAAAACCGCGAGAACTTGCTTAAGTTTAATAGAACACCCTGCATTTTTTTACATCAAGTTATGTATAATTAAATTTCTTTCTTTTTCTGATATAAGCATTGTGGGGGTTTAAGTTAAAACTTTTTGAAATATTTGCGATTTTCTTAGAAATTCAAAAATTTTCAGTAGAAATTTTATCAAATTAGCCAATATTAGTAATGTCAGTTATTCTCTTATGTCAAAAAATGCCACCGCGTTTAAATTACACCCACGTAGACTTTTTTAATTTATTTATTATTTATGGAGAATGTGGTTAAATAAAAATGGGTTAGTGCATCTTATTTCTGCTGTTTCTAACTTTAAATATGATTAATAGTGGACAATTAACACAGAAATATGCTAGGTAACGCTAACTACAGTAGAGAACTTTAAGCGGAAAACATAATATTAAAACCAAAAACGAAGTTATTTGAAAATGAAATAAATATTATTAAATCATGAAACCGACAAAATTGCTTGGTTTACTACGGCATAAAAGAAGACGAGAACAAAGATCAACAAAAACTGGAAATGGAAATTTCCATGTGTCAAAATAAGTTAAAAACTAACATTTCATCGGTTCAATATGAAAAGTTCACAGACCGTAATAAAGAAAGACTAGTGATGGTAAAATTTCTAAGATGTAAATTCAAAAGTATGATCATGAAAAATGTTAAATATTTAGCGGAAATAAGTTATACCATTGTACTGTATTACTCTACCATACGAACGTAAGTCACTAATACCATACGTACTTAAAGCAAAAAATAAGGCAGACAAAGCTTGTGTAAAGATTAATACGTATATAAAAAAACAACAAAAAATATACATTAAGCGCGTGTGAAATTAATTTTTAAACGAACTCAAGTGTAAATCAGCTAAAAGATGTCACGACATCAAGCAGTTCCACTCTTCAACGACGACGACGATCACGACATCGACGACGACCACGATGACGATGACGGCCACACTAACACCAACATTACAAACGTCACCAACAATACGACCAGTAACAACACCAACAGTACCTAAAACAACAGCGCGTTCCGAGAAAACAAAT